TGTGCTGTGCTGTGCTGTGTGCTGTGTGCTGTGTGCTGTGTGCTGTGCTGTGCTGTGTGCTGTGTGCTGTGCTGTGCTGTGCTGTGCTGTGCTGTGTGCTGTGCTGTGCTGTGCTGTGTGCTGTGCTGTGCTGTGTGCTGTGCTGTGCTGTGCTGTGTGCTGTGCTTGCTGTGCTGTGTGCTGTGCTGTGCTGTGTGCTGTGCTGTGTGCTGTGCTGTGCTGTGCTGTGCTGTGCTGTGTGCTGTGCTGTGCTGTGCTGTGCTGTGCTGTGCTGTGCTGCGCTATGCTGCGCTATGCTATGCTATGCTATGCTATGCTATGCTATGCTATGCTATGCTATGCTATGCTATGCTATGCTATGCTATGCTATGCTATGCTATGCTATGCTATGCTATGCTATGCTATGCTATGCTATGCTATGCTATGCTATGCTATGCTGTGCTGTGCTGTGTGCTGTGCTGTGTGCTGTGCTGTGCTGTGCTGTGCTGTGCTGTGTGCTGTGCTGTGCTGTGCTGTGCTGTGCTGTGCTGCGCTATGCTGCGCTATGCTATGCTATGCTATGCTATGCTATGCTATGCTATGCTATGCTATGCTATGCTATGCTATGCTATGCTATGCTATGCTATGCTATGCTATGCTATGCTATGCTATGCTATTCTATGCTATGCTATGCTATGCTATGCTATGCTATGCTATGCTGTGTGCTGTGCTGTGTGCTGTGCTGTGCTGTGCTGTGCTGTGCTGTGTGCTGTGCTGTGCTGTGCTGTGCTGTGCTGTGCTGCGCTATGCTGCGCTATGCTATGCTATGCTATGCTATGCTATGCTATGCTATGCTATGCTATGCTATGCTATGCTATGCTATGCTATGCTATGCTATGCTATGCTATGCTATGCTATGCTATGCTATGCTATTCTATGCTATGCTATGCTATGCTATGCTATGCTATGCTATGCTATGCTATGCTATGCTATGCTATGCTATGCTATGCTATGCTATGCTATGCTATGCTATGCTATGCTATGCTATGCTATGCTATGCTATGCTATGCTATGCTATGCTATGCTATGCTATGCTATGCTATGCTATGCTATGCTATGCTATGCTATGCTATGCAATGCTATGCAATGCAATGCAATGCTATGCAATGCAATGCTATGCTATGCTATGCTATGCTATGCTATGCTATGCTATGCTATGCTATGCTATGCTATGCTATGCTATGCTATGCTATGCTATGCTATGCTATGCTATGCTATGCTATGCTATGCTATGCTATGCTATGCTATGCTATGCTATGCTATGCTATGCTATGCTATGCTATGCTATGCTATGCTATGCTATGCTATGCTATGCTATGCTGCGCTATGCTGCGCTATGCTGCGCTATGCTATGCTATGCTATGCTATGCTATGCTATGCTATGCTATGCTATGCTATGCTATGCTATGCTATGCTATGCTATGCTATGCTATGCTATGCTATGCTATGCTATGCTATGCTATGCTATGCTATGCTATGCTATGCTATGCTATGCTATGCTATGCTATGCTATGCTATGCTATGCTATGCTATGCTATGCTATGCTATGCTATGCTATGCTATGCTATGCTATGCTATGCTATGCTATGCTATGCTATGCTATGCTATGCTATGCTATGCTATGCTATGCTATGCTATGCTATGCTATGCTATGCTATGCTATGCTATGCTATGCTATGCTATGCTATGCTATGCTATGCTATGCTATGCTATGCTATGCTATGCTATGCTATGCTATGCTATGCTATGCTATGCTATGCTATGCTATGCTATGCTATGCTATGCTATGCTATGCTATGCTATGCTATGCTATGCTATGCTATGCTATGCTATGCTATGCTATGCTATGCTATGCTATGCTATGCTATGCTATGCTATGCTATGCTATGCTATGCTATGCTATGCTATGCTATGCTATGCTATGCTATGCTATGCTATGCTATGCTATGCTATGCTATGCTATGCTATGCTATGCTATGCTATGCTATGCTATGCTATGCTATGCTATGCTATGCTATGCTATGCTATGCTATGCTATGCTATGCTATGCTATGCTATGCTATGCTATGCTATGCTATGCTATGCTATGCTATGCTATGCTATGCTATGCTATGCTATGCTATGCTATGCTATGCTATGCTATGCTATGCTATGCTATGCTATGCTATGCTATGCTATGCTATGCTATGCTATGCTATGCTATGCTATGCTATGCTATGCTATGCTATGCTATGCTATGCTATGCTATGCTATGCTATGCTATGCTATGCTATGCTATGCTATGCTATGCTATGCTATGCTATGCTATGCTATGCTATGCTATGCTATGCTATGCTATGCTATGCTATGCTATGCTATGCTATGCTATGCTATGCTATGCTATGCTATGCTATGCTATGCTATGCTATGCTATGCTATGCTATGCTATGCTATGCTATGCTATGCTATGCTATGCTATGCTATGCTATGCTATGCTATGCTATGCTATGCTATGCTATGCTATGCTATGCTATGCTATGCTATGCTATGCTATGCTATGCTATGCTATGCTATGCTATGCTATGCTATGCTATGCTATGCTATGCTATGCTATGCTATGCTATGCTATGCTATGCTATGCTATGCTATGCTATGCTATGCTATGCTATGCTATGCTATGCTATGCTATGCTATGCTATGCTATGCTATGCTATGCTATGCTATGCTATGCTATGCTATGCTATGCTATGCTATGCTATGCTATGCTATGCTATGCTATGCTATGCTATGCTATGCTATGCTATGCTATGCTATGCTATGCTATGCTATGCTATGCTATGCTATGCTATGCTATGCTATGCTATGCTATGCTATGCTATGCTATGCTATGCTATGCTATGCTATGCTATGCTATGCTATGCTATGCTATGCTATGCTATGCTATGCTATGCTATGCTATGCTATGCTATGCTATGCTATGCTATGCTATGCTATGCTATGCTATGCTATGCTATGCTATGCTATGCTATGCTATGCTATGCTATGCTATGCTATGCTATGCTATGCTATGCTATGCTATGCTATGCTATGCTATGCTATGCTATGCTATGCTATGCTATGCTATGCTATGCTATGCTATGCTATGCTATGCTATGCTATGCTATGCTATGCTATGCTATGCTATGCTATGCTATGCTATGCTATGCTATGCTATGCTATGCTATGCTATGCTATGCTATGCTATGCTATGCTATGCTATGCTATGCTATGCTATGCTATGCTATGCTATGCTATGCTATGCTATGCTATGCTATGCTATGCTATGCTATGCTATGCTATGCTATGCTATGCTATGCTATGCTATGCTATGCTATGCTATGCTATGCTATGCTATGCTATGCTATGCTATGCTATGCTATGCTATGCTATGCTATGCTATGCTATGCTATGCTATGCTATGCTATGCTATGCTATGCTATGCTATGCTATGCTATGCTATGCTATGCTATGCTATGCTATGCTATGCTATGCTATGCTATGCTATGCTATGCTATGCTATGCTATGCTATGCTATGCTATGCTATGCTATGCTATGCTATGCTATGCTATGCTATGCTATGCTATGCTATGCTATGCTATGCTATGCTATGCTATGCTATGCTATGCTATGCTATGCTATGCTATGCTATGCTATGCTATGCTATGCTATGCTATGCTATGCTATGCTATGCTATGCTATGCTATGCTATGCTATGCTATGCTATGCTATGCTATGCTATGCTATGCTATGCTATGCTATGCTATGCTATGCTATGCTATGCTATGCTATGCTATGCTATGCTATGCTATGCTATGCTATGCTATGCTATGCTATGCTATGCTATGCTATGCTATGCTATGCTATGCTATGCTATGCTATGCTATGCTATGCTATGCTATGCTATGCTATGCTATGCTATGCTATGCTATGCTATGCTATGCTATGCTATGCTATGCTATGCTATGCTATGCTATGCTATGCTATGCTATGCTATGCTATGCTATGCTATGCTATGCTATGCTATGCTATGCTATGCTATGCTATGCTATGCTATGCTATGCTATGCTATGCTATGCTATGCTATGCTATGCTATGCTATGCTATGCTATGCTATGCTATGCTATGCTATGCTATGCTATGCTATGCTATGCTATGCTATGCTATGCTATGCTATGCTATGCTATGCTATGCTATGCTATGCTATGCTATGCTATGCTATGCTATGCTATGCTATGCTATGCTATGCTATGCTATGCTATGCTATGCTATGCTATGCTATGCTATGCTATGCTATGCTATGCTATGCTATGCTATGCTATGCTATGCTATGCTATGCTATGCTATGCTATGCTATGCTATGCTATGCTATGCTATGCTATGCTATGCTATGCTATGCTATGCTATGCTATGCTATGCTATGCTATGCTATGCTATGCTATGCTATGCTATGCTATGCTATGCTATGCTATGCTATGCTATGCTATGCTATGCTATGCTATGCTATGCTATGCTATGCTATGCTATGCTATGCTATGCTATGCTATGCTATGCTATGCTATGCTATGCTATGCTATGCTATGCTATGCTATGCTATGCTATGCTATGCTATGCTATGCTATGCTATGCTATGCTATGCTATGCTATGCTATGCTATGCTATGCTATGCTATGCTGTGCTGTGTGCTGTTGTGGTTCGTTTAACCCCTCCTGCTTCCAGAAAATAAAGTTTCTCTTCCATGCTACCTTTCCTCCTTCCTTCATCCGTCCCTCCTCCCCTCTCTTCCTCCCCTCGCCCCTCCCTTTCCTGCTCTGCTCTCATTTTCACTCACTCCCATGTGAACATCCCATGAGCTTTCACCATCCATCCCACCATTCCAGTCCTACCAATCATGCTCTGCCTGTCGTCTCATTCCCATCTACCCACTCCCCCTATCTACCACCAGTCTTTCCCGAGTCCCTACGTACGCGTTTTGAGGCGCCCCTGTTCGTTTACACAGAAGAAAAGGTGTGTTTTAGTTTATATTCTGCCTTATCATCCCCCTCTCATCATCTACTCCCCCCGGCTCTGATATTCTGCCTCTTACTCTGCTTTTCTCGGTGTTACGTTGGAGATACTGTATCAGCACCAACTGCTTATATTCCTCTTTTTCCACCTTCCCCACATCTTCTCCCCCCCATTCCTCCCTCGTCCCCTCGTTACTCTCTGCCCTTCCCACATTTCCTCCTCTTATCACCCCATGTCCGCGCCTATGTGCTGTGTCAAACCAATCAACTACTCCCGCTATCGTGCCCGCCCCTCACCAGGCGTATCTGGCAATGTCAGAAGCGGCTAAGGAGATGGTGAGAGTGCGGTCAGTCAACAAGAGCATCCCTGCTGAGGTGACACCTCCCTCCCTTTCTCTATTATGGCCCTGCTATCCCACCTACCCACCCACCCTCCAGGCGTATCTGGCAATGTCAGAGGCAGCCAAGGAGATGGTAAGAGTGCGGTCTGTGAACAAGAGCATCCCTCTGAGGCGACACCTGAGTCAATTCGAGATCCCTCCATCCCTTCACCATGCTATCCCACGTCCCAACCAGGCGTATCTGGCAATGTCAGAGGCAGCCAAGGCGATGGTGGGAGTGCGGTCTGTGAACAAGAGCATCCCTGCTCACAACCGCTGCTTTGGTGCCTGGTGGGTGCTGCAGGGGGTTATAGGATTGTGGGGATGGTTGGGGTGGTGGTGGGGGTGGGGGGGGGGGGAGGGTGGGGAGGGTGGGGAGGGTGGGGATGGTGGGAGTGCGGTCTGTGAACAAGAGCATCCCCACTCACAACCGCTGCTTCACCGCTCAGGGGGTGGTGATGGGGATGATGGAGTGGTGGGGATGTTGGGGTGGCTCGTCACTTTCGTAGTTTTTTTAAGGCTATGTTTGTATGGAATGTGGATGCATGTATACCCCATCACTGTGCCTGTCATCACCATACATGCACGCATGCACCGCATGCGGCAGGTGGAATGGAGGAGTGTGTTGGTGGATGTGGTGGTGGGATACAATACAACACTATCCTCATGAACTCACGTGTATGAAGAAGTGTTTTGAGACATCTCAAAACACTTGTTCATACAAGAAGATTGTGTTGGTGGATGTGGTGGTGGGATACAATAACACTATCCTCGTGAACTCACTCATCACTGCGCCTGTCACCACCCATGCCATGTGCACACTCATGCACTCATGCACTCATGCACTCATGCACACATGCACTCATGCACACATGTACACATGCACGCATGCACACATGCACTCATGCACACATGTACACATGCACGCATGCACGCATGCACTCATGCACTCATGCACATATGCACTCATGCACTCATGCACACATGCACGCATGCACTCATGCGCACTTGCACGCATGCACACTTGCTCCGCATGTGGCAGGTGGAAGAGTGTGTTGGTGGATCTGGTGGTGGGGTACGACACCATCCTCATGAACTCCCTAATCTCCTCGCGAGGCAAAGGTGCGACCTCTTTCAGAAGGTCTTCTCCTTGTGATCTGGATGGCATGGCATGTGGCATAGCATGGGAGAGTGTGCTGGTGGATCTGGTGGTGGGGTACGACACCATTCTTATGAACTCCCTCGTCTCCTCACGAGGGAAAGGTGCGACCGCATGTGGGGTGCATGGTTGACCCTTTTGCTGTTTGAGTCAACTTGGAAACCCCCCCCAAAAAAAAAAAAAAAAAAGAGAGGAAATTTTGAAACCGAGCAAAACAAAACGAAGAACGCATAAAGGAGAAGAAAATAACCTTCCTCGTTGTCACCCAGTGCTGGAGCCAGTCTCCATAGATCCTACCTAACCCCCCCCCCGCCCCCAACCTCCCCCCTCCCCCTTCCCTCCCTTCCCGCACCCTCTTCCCGCCAACCCCTCTCCGCCCGCCTGCGCCTGACCGCACCGCAGCCTCGCTGCCACCAGAGGCAGAGCCAGAAGAAAACACCAAAGAAAAGAACCTCACCCCCTGCGCCGCACCCCCTTTCCCTCCTTTGTAACTCCCCTCTCTCTCTCTCTCTCTCTCTCAAGCGGTCCGTGTATTAGATCCGAGCAAGGTACAGACATGCACAAGGATATAAGAAGCAATGCATCTCAGCTTCTAAAACCCCCACATCCTACCTACCCTCCTTCACCCTCTAAGGCAGCTCCAATGCCGGCTCCAGGATGGCAAGGCAGTCCCCGAGGGACATTCCTTCGCCCGGCAGCGCCACAGGTGGGTTCTCCACCTGAGCCGCGTAGTTGCACTTCGTCATGAAGCTCACTGACTGCGCCCGCTGCAGCGCCACGGACCACCGCTGGCGGAACTGGTGCAGCAGCTTTGTTGCCTGGTAAGATGAGGGGGCCGCGTTGAAGAGCCGGCGCGCGCCGGTGTCGGCCAGAAGTTTGAGGAATTGAGGGACCTCCGCGCAAGGACAGCCATAGGTATCAACGGCAAGGGGGAAGAACCCGACCCACGAGGCCGTTGAGCCCTCGTAGTCGGAGATCTTCTTCTCCGCCGCCTCCCTGGCCGCCCATCCCCTGCCCTTGACCGCGTTGGGATCCCGTGTGCTGATGGGGTCCGTGATGGTCACGTCCCCTATCCACACCGCTCCTGAGGACTTGTCCCGGATCGCAATGTCGGCTTTCTTCAGAGTGACGGGGCAGAACGTAGTCGTTTCGCTGTGAGTCATGAAGTCAGCGTCGGCGGCCATGTGTACACACGCATCGCGCAACTCATTGTGCGTGTTGGTCCGTCCCTTCCCCGTGTCGCAGCGCAGCAGGTGGTTGGGCAGGCGCCTGTCAAGGATTGCCGTCTTATTGCGGCAGTCACACGCGCCAGGTGCCGAGGAGGGTAACCCCATCCTGAACTGCAGCGCATGCGCAAAGTGAGCCGGGGCAAGCCGCAGTGTCGAGTTGAAGGGGACCGCGTTGAGCCAGTCTCCTGCCCCATACCCTGAGAGTGAAAGCATGCGCTGAGTGTGCCCGCTTAGTGGGTTGAGTGGCATGATGCGTGTAGCCTGCACCTGCTCCGCGCAGCGCAGTCCGTGTACCGCGATTGCCAGCCCATGCTGCAGCTTGGCGCCCTTGGGATTAGCCCGATCGCTCTGCAGCAGCTCCTTCCCATCGTCCGGCAGTGACTCCTCACACCTCTCCAACCAGTCAAAGAGCGGGGACGTGTTGATGAAGGGCCCCACCATCTGGACCCGCGTTTCCGCCAAGGCGCCGACGGCCGACTCATCAATGGAGGTGAGCAGGTGCTGCGCTTGCGTGTAGCTTGCAAGGAACCCAACACGACCCTCCACCGAAGGGTCTGTGAGTCCCAAACCACCGAGCGAGATGGGGAGTGACGCTTGCGCCCAGGTACGTGAAATCTCGGCCTCCCCCCGTGGGTGGCGAATGCCGCAGGCAGTCAGCAACGTCTCAAACAGCTTTTTACCCCAGTCTGACCACTCCTCGACTGGCAGGGCCGAAAGCGGCGTGGTGCGGGCGACGTAAGCGATCCGCCGTGAGATGCACCGTGAGAGCAGGAGGGAAGCCAGCTGCGGCTCCATCCGCGCGATTAAGGGCAGCGGCACTCCCATGGTGTCGAGGCTGGCACGTAGGAACGCGGCGGTTGCGTCGCTGCCACCGATGAAGCTGCCAAGCACCTTCACCCCATCTTCTGTGAAAGGTACGCCCACTGGAAGCGCTGCTCCCTGCTGGCCAGCCTGAGACCAGGCCGCGCACTTGGCTGGGTTGTGGCGCAGCCCGATCTCCCCGAGGTTTCCTGTGAAGTCCTCAAATGCCGCCGCGCACATGGCTGCATCCCCAAGAAAAGTTACGTCGTCCGCATAGGCTAGACAGACCACGGAGGGGAAGCTGAGCGCCGTTTTCGTCAGCGCTGGGTGTATGGCGGCAGCGAACAGCAACGGGCCGAGGGGATCTCCCTGCCGCACCCCGGTCTCGCTCAGCAGAGGTGGGTGTGAGAAGCCAGCGTCCAGACATAGAGCCGAAGGAAGGCCGTACAGCAGTTTAACTAACGGTAAAAGTGAAGCGAGAGAGGAGTCCCGAAGAGATGTGATGATGGCGTCGCGGTTAACGCTGTTAAATGCGTTCGCCAGATCAGCCTGTAGGACCAAAGCTCCTGTGTTCACCGTGAGGTACGTGCGTGTGATGTGGATAATCGCCTCCGCCCCGCCAGGGACTGCCACGCCGAACTGGTGCGGTAGGAAGAATACACGAGCGGCCCCTGCAGTCAAAGTAAGCGCCGTCTTAGCTGCCAGGCGTGTTATGCTCTCGCCGATGGCAATTGGTCGCGTCCCCCCATCGGGCTTGCTCAGGGCAATCAATCTTGAGGCGGTGAGGAGCTCAGCCACCGCAGGAGGTAATTTTCCTGTTAATATCGTGTTGACTAGCGCGTGCAGGTGTTTCCCAACGGAGTGGTTGATCAGTGCTGCATCGCGTAAGTGTTCGAAAGTTGTTCCTGAGGGGCCCGCTCCCACCCCCATCTCGCAGCTTCCCAGCACCTTGGAGAAGACAGCAAACGGTGCCGATAGGTGAGGGTCAGGTTCTGGAAAGTTCCAGTCAGGTGGGGAGGCGGGCGCAGGTGGGTGCTTGGCGCGCAGGGCCTCCAGCACAGTTGGAGAGGGGGTGCTGACTGGCGTGGCTTCAAGTGCCATCACGGCGCGTCGTAGGCTGCCACGTCGTGCCAACCCCTCTGCCCTAGCGATGACACCAATGTCATCGGGCTGGTGTCTGGGTGGTTGGGGCCACGACAGTGAACCCACTGTTTCAGTGTATAATTTGTCCCATTCTCCAGACAGAAACTGACGAAGGCGGGCACTGACAGCCTTCCAGTCTGGGCGCCTAGGTGACAGCTGGCGAAGTGTTAATCGAGCGAGTCTCTCTCTCTCTCTCTCTCTCTCTCTCTCTCTCTCTCTCTCTCTCTCTCTCTCTCTCTCTCCCCCCCCCACCCCCCCCAGGTTTCCTGTACAACGCACACACCAAGGAGTTATACGACCTCAATCTCGCTGCCACCAGGGGCAGAGCTGCTGCTACCTCCTTTGAAGGTAAGCGCCGGGGCTCATTTATGGTTAGGACTGGGAAGGAAGGAGCAAACGAGCAGGGGGGGAGGAAGTGGGTTTTTGAGGAAAAAGGCATAGTGGGAAGAAGGAAGAAGGGGGTAAGGAAGTCTTATTGCTGCCTACAAACCTACTCAACCCCACTCACCTCACTGAAATCAAGTGAACCTCTCTGAATTCCGCTGAACCGCACTGAAACCCCCTTGGCAGACGTGATTTCGTTCAAGATTGGAGTGGTGTTCACATCAGTGTTCATATTCTTCATGACCCTCCTCGCGGTATCCTTCACCCTCCGAGAGACACAGAGCCGCATGCTCAAATTCACAAGTAAGTCGGGGGTGGGTGGTGGTGGCGGTGTGTGTGAGGGTGGTGGTGGTGATGATGCTGGTGGTTGCTCTCTGTTTGCTCTCACTTTTGATAAAATCGTTCACCTTTGGAGAGACGCAGAGCCGCATGCTCAAGCTCACAAGTGAGAGGGGGGTGGGTGGTGGTGGTGAAGGTGATGCGGGTGTGGGGTTGGGTTGGGTTGGGTTGTGGTAACGATGGTGGTGGTGGTGGTGGTGGTGGTGGTGGTGGTGGTGGTGGTGGTGGTGGTGGTGGTGGTGGTGGTGGTGGTGGTGGTGGTGGTGGTGGTGGTGGTGGTGGTGGTGGTGGTGGTGGTGGTGGTGGTGGTGGTGGTGGTGGTGGTGGTGGTGGTGGTGGTGGTGGTGGTGGTGGTGGTGG